CAGCCAAACAACCTTATGGGATCTTCCTCTTCTCCTCTCAATCGCCAACCTTCTCATTTTCTATCGACTCTGCTGCACCATCTCTTGTTGGTATAGATCTGAAATAGAGGAGTTTTTGGGGCAGCAGTGAGGGAATGATCCGGGCCTAATCCCATGGATGAGATCCTTTAGATCAGACTCCGATCTGCTACCCAGAAACTCAGCCATTTTCTTGTTATTTACTAGAATTGTTGTTATTGTTGTTGAGTAAAATGATATGGATTGAGGTGAATACAATGAACACTTCATGCATTTTTTGATTTGCGGTCTGTTTGGGCAGCTTCGCAATCCAACACTGTTGAAGTCCTCAGTTGCTTCCACAATTGAAAATCCCGAGGATATTTCCTTGGGGAAAACACTTTGATGCTCAAGTTAGCAATACTCGATATTCTAAAGAAAGATCTCTCAAAAGAGTAATTGCAGAGAGAGAAGCATAGAGATAAATTACCTTCATCGGAGGTAGTTGGGGGTATTTATAGCCCCAAATGCTGACATGCATCAGTACATGTAAGCACCTCATTGGCCCACGTGGTGCTGCCCATGTGGGTATGTCTCTTCCTTTTGGGCCTGTGGGTGCATAGTTGGGCATGCTGCATGTGGCCCGAAGCGGGTGTTGGGCCTAATCCCAACATTACTCCCCCTCAGTGTTCGGTTGATGAACTGGGTTGAGAGTCTTGTTAGCACGGTGTTTGACCTTGAGGATGAGGAGTGATGTTTTATGTTCATGACCGACCTCACGCACGGCCGATCTAGGTGACCTGAAGCCAGCGTGGCCAAGTCTGATGTGTATGTGTATGCCGACCTCCTACCGAGCAGGTGTGAGGAAGTTGGCATTAAAAGACGGCGAGCTCGGTGTTAATCAGCGAGCTGAGCAAACGCGCAAGGGCAACCTTGCATAACGGATTCTCGACGAGCTCGGTGTGCAAGGGCGACCTTGCATAATGGATTCTCTGTAGCAGAGCGAAGGCGAGCAGATAGTGAACAAGCTAAACCAATCGACCCAAATGGGCTGAAATGAGCAACCTTACTTGTCACTACAGTATAGATCTCTGGGATACAGAGTAAATCTGAGGAAGTTGGTTACGATCTAACGTTCGATGTTCAAAACTGAGGTGGATCTCTGATTTGTTATGACCTGATCTTTAAAGACTTTTCGAGTTTGGAATCTTTAAAGAGATATCAGATTAGTAACGAGCAGATTCCTCGAGATTTTCAAATTTTGAATTAGGGGCAGATCTCTGAGGAGATCTCAGATTTGTTACGAGCTAGTCCTTAGTCACTTTTTGAAATTTGAATCTACAAAATCTCTGAAGAGATACGATTCAGAGTGGTTAGTATTCCCCATCCCCCTCTAATAAATGCTGGCTCAGCGTTTGAAGAGACATGACAGCTAAAGCCGGTGGACATTACACTCCAAGCAATAAGTACCAGCCACGCGTAACATTTTGATTGGTTGGCATAGAGGCGTGTACGGTAATGATGGGCATGGTTGCTTAACTCCTCTGTCACCTCTGTTTCCATATTCCAATTCCATATTCTTTGTATTCTTTTGCAACAAAGGACTTCCAAAGTTTTCAGGCGACCTTCTCAGAGAATTCCACAGTCAATTTTTTAGGTAATAACAAATGGAATTTGTTAGAGAAGTAGGAGAACTTCGGGGTAACCAGGGCATGGAATGGGAAGAGAGTGATATCCGTAGAACCGATTGTGATGATTGTATCGCCGAAACTGCAAGATTTGCCGGAAACCCTTACACCCGAGAGTAGTGCCAGTTCAAGCGCTCACGAGGGCTCCGGTGCTAACCCTTCTCCATTGTCTGAAGGGTCATCATCAGAAAATACTCCCAGTGTCGGAGAAAATGTAGAGGAGGGCGCAAGCAGTCCCTTGTTGGAAAGTATGGAGGTGGCTGTAGACCTGCCCGTGGTTGCAGGTTGGGAGAATAAAACCATAAGTGATAGGTTGAGTAACCTTCGCAAAGCGCCACATACATTGATGGCCGGATTTAGGTTTAAGGCAAATCTGCATCATGAGGTAGCAGATTGTTCCACCTCCATTAAAGGGTACAAAAGACTGGAGGAAGTGGTGAGACAGTACCATGTTCCAGGACAGTTTTGTTACGAACTGGCACAAAAAATGAACGGGCCTACAGCATGTCAGCAACAGGGTAGATACCCGTATATGTGGACCACTTCGATGCCGGCTTGAGATTCCCTTTACCTGGGCTGATTTTTGACCTTCTCTCAGAGTACGAGCTGGCGCTGACACAGTTGACCCCCAACAGCATAAAATTTAGGTTAAATCCCCATTTTGGTCCCTGAACTATTGTACGGACCCCCAATTTGGTCCCTGAACTAAAGAAATCCCTTATTTGATCCTTAAACTATTGTACGGATCCCCGATTTGGTCCCCATTGTTTATAATTTGGCTTAAGTTGGTCTTTGAACTATTGTACGGACCCCCAATTTGGTCCTTACTATTTACAATTTTGCCCCAATTTGATCCCTGAGCTATTATTTAACAGAAGGACCAAGTTGGGGTTAAATTGGTAAATAGTAGGGACCAAATTGGGCATCCATACAATAGTTTAGGGACTAACTCGGGAGTCCGTACAATAGTTTAGGGACCAACTTAGGGGTCCGTACAATAGTTCAAGGACCAAATTAGGAATTTCTTTAGTTCAGGGACCAAATCGGGGGTCCGTAAATAGTTCAGGGACCAAAATAGGGGTTTAACCTAAAATTTATTATAGGATTTATGTTGTTGTGCGCGAAGTTGGAGATACATGCGAAGGCAATCGTGTTCAAATTGCTCTTCCTATGCCGGTTGAGTACCACACAGACGAGGTGGTACTACATCTCTGGGCGAGAAAAAATGGCGATCTTTAAGAACATAAGGAATAAGGTGTCCCGGTGGAAGAGACAATTTATTTTTGTCCGGGATATGCAAACAGAGAGGGTTAGCAACGATCTGGCAACTCGTCTCTCTGAGTGGCACTTAGGGCATGCGTACATGAACTATCCCACACTAACCCCGGACGACCTGGAGCTTAAGGATCGAATAACGAACTATGTGAAGGGAGTGGGGTTAGTTGATTTGGAAGCCCTGGTTACCCTTGAGGTGCTCGTTTGACGTGCATGTGTTTGTGCAGGAGAGATGACGAGCATGCTTGAGAGGCAACGCGAATGAGCTTAATGTTCACGAGCTAGAGGGACTAGATCCAATACGCAGAGGCAAACACGCTTTGACGAGCGACCTTCTGTAGCACCTCGCAGCTCGTCACAGAGGTAGCGAGGCTCCAGCTCGGCCTCACGACCACACGCCGAGCGTAGAGTTTAGACCGTTTCTGCTGAGACTCGGAGGCGCGCTCGTGAAGACTCCAATGCCGAAGATGATGTACCCCTGATTTGGCGTAGATTGAACTCTGGGAGTCAATTTGGAGCGGTGCGCTCACCTGACGCACCCACAGCCCAAACGCGCAGCACTGCTGAGGCGCTACCTACACCAGCAGCTATTGCGGGCCCCAAAATCACATACCCTGAGGGCTTTAGCTATACTAAAGTCGACTGTTAGCTCACGATGGTCCAGGGTATGCAAAACTTCATCCCACCTGCGAACCGTCAGCGCGCCAAAGGTTACATTCAGCAGCATGGGAGTAATGCTGCGATGCTGAAGTTAATGGGTGTGAGTACTTTGCTAAACAAAGGTGTTATTTGCTGTATTCTTTGTAATGAAATTTGACTATAAAAGTGTTGTTACAAGCGTCAAGCTAGTCGGTAGCTTTGTTCGAGAGCGAGCAGGTAGCTCGTGGACAAAATCGTGAGCTGGCTGACAGTTGCAAGCGGTTGACCTTAGACAAAGCGAGCTTGGAGGACGAGGTGAACCCTTTGCAAAGCTCGGAGATGGCTAATAGGGTTGCATCAACTGAGAGCCGGGCTGATGAGTTGGCCAACAAAGTTAACCAGCTGCAGGAGGAGCTGGATAGGGTTAAGGCCGAAAAAGAGAGTGGGATCCAGGCGGCCATGGATGAGTCGTTCGTGCGGTGGATCGCATGAAGAAGGCTGAAGTTAAGAGAGACAACGCTCTAAACGACCTCAACACCTTAAGGCAGCGTGTAGCCGCCGCTGATCAGGACCTTGCCCGTGCAGATGAGGGGCTGAGGAAGGCCAAAGCTCAACAATAGCGTTGTATAAGTATCGCGTGAGCACAGGGCGCGGAGTGGCTGGTGGGTGTTGACATGTTCAAGGATGCCGTGGCTGTGGCTTCCATGAACACCACGACGAAGATTTATAACAACGTTTGTGGTAAAGTGTTGAAGCACCGACCTGACTTCCCGATCAACGAGCTAGCGTTTTTCGAAGGTGAAGAGTTTGATGAGGAAGGGAAGAGCCTTGCTGACCCTGTTGATACGACAGTGCGACTCCGTTGGGAGCTAAACGAAGAAAGAGTGCCTATATGGCCTCCGTCTGTTTTAGAAGAAGGAAAGGAGTTTGAGAACCTGCCTAGGTTCGACTCCTGGGTGGGTGACGCTCCTTTAGAAGAAGCTGAACCCTCAAGCACTCCCTCCGCGCCTCAGCTCGCCTCCACTATTGCCATCCCCTCTCCAGCTCGTGCTGACGCATCCATACCTGTTGATTTAACGGATGATTAGGATTAGATTTTTTACATGTTTCTTCTGCTTTTGTAGTTTTAGTATTTCCTTGTTTAAGACATATTTTGTACTTATGTTGACACCTCATGTAATTGATTTACAAGGAATACAATCCAAATGATTTTTGGAGAACTATGTGTATTATTTGCATTGCACTCATACATCATTCAAGTTCTCTAAATATCCAGCAATAATACAAATCAACTGTAAAATTTTCTAAGATTCTGAACATTCCATGTAAATGGTAACTGGCGCCCGTGCATATCTGCTAATATGTAAAATCCAGGTCGGTTAACTTGAACAACCATATATGGACCTTCCCAATTAAGAGTGAGCTTGCCCATGTGTGAATAAGCGTTGGTTAATCCAGCTTTTCATACAACCAGATCGCCAACCTGAAATTGATGAGCTTGGACCCTCTTATTATAGAGTTTTGCTACACGACCTTGATACGCCATGTTTCTTATTCGAGACATCTCTCTGACCTCTTCTACAAGGTCTAGGTTCTCTCTCAAAAATTGCTCATTGCTGGGATCGTCATGCTGACCTACTCTATCAGATGGCAATTCGACCTTTACTAGGATGACGGCCTCAGCTCCATAGGCAAGGCTAAATGGAGTTTCGCCTGTGGTCGAGCTAAGTGTAGTGCGACATGACCAAAGTACTTTATTGAGCTCGTCAACCCAATTAGAATGTGCAGCTAAAACACATGTCTTGAGGCCTCGCAAGACGATTTTATTGGCGGACTCGGCTTGTCCATTTGACTGTGGAGCATATACAGATGTCAAGGCGAGCTCAATGCCATAGTCGTCACAGAACGACCTCAGCGCCGCAGCTCGAAACTGTGGATCATTGTTAGCGATGATCTGTTTAGGTATGCCAAACCTGTACACAAATGACTGAGCTGAGTCATAAGTTATATTTGCATACGATACCAATGGCTTAAGCCACCAAAAAATACTTGCATAATATTGAATTGAATAGGAATTCTTCTATTTTCCTCTTTGTCATCGTGGACAATGGTTTGGCTTTTATCCATTTGGTGAAGTAGTCTATCGCGACAACTAGGTAGGTGCAACCTCCTTTGCCTTTGACAAAAGGGCCAAGCAGATCGACTCTCCATTGAGCAAAAGGCCAAGGTGATGAGAGAATTTCTCCTATTTCAAGGAAGATATTTATGCTCAGCTTATGGACAAACACGAAGTTTGGGCGAACTTTAGAATGAGCTCAGATACTTGGCATGTGAATATCATCAGCATTAAACTAGCAGGTCGGGCACTTTTTGACATAGCTCTGTGCCTCCTCGACCATAGTAGGCCAGTAATAACCATGCCTCAGGAGTTTCCGAGCTAAAGTTTTGCCACCTATGTGCGTGCCACATACTCCTTCATGAACTTCTCTCACAGCGTATTCAGCTTCATAAGGAGTAAGGCAGCGCAGTAAGGGCATTGAAGCTGCCCGCTTGTAAATCTGATTATCTAATAGGGTAAAATGTGTTGCCCTGCGTTTAATCAACTTTGCTATGGACGGATCTTCGGGCAGCTCGCCGCTTCGCAGATACTCTATGAGCGGGGTGGTCCAGCTCGGTGAAGAGGGATCCGTGCTTAGTAGTTGACACTCGATTGTGAAATCGGTGTAGCTCGGGGCGTTAAGTACCTCCACAACTATTGATCTCTGAGGGTGGATATCTTGTGAGGAGGCTAATTTGGATAGATCGTCAGCTCGTTGGTTATCTGCTTTGGGTATCTTGTTGATCTGGAAAGAGGTAAACCCTGATTTCAATCTGTTGACCACAGAGGTATAACGACTGAGCTGAGGGTCCCTGATTTCGTAGCTACCATTCACTTGGCCCACAACGAGCTAAGAATCACTGAAGATTTTGATGCTCTTTACTTTTAACTTGGATGCTAGCTTCAAACCGTAAATGAGGGTCTCATATTCTGCAGTATTATTTGTTGTTTGAAACTTGAACCTCAATGCATACTCGGACTTAAAACCATTTGGGCCCACTAACACAGCCTCTGCACCCGATCCTTCAATATTTGCAGTTCCATCTACATACAAGACCCAGACTAGGTATTTGGGTGCCTTTTCTTCCACCGTCACCGAGAGGCACTCCACTAGGAAGTCCGCCACAGCCGGGCCTTTTACGGTTATGCGCGGTTGAAATTTGAGGTCGTACTCACTCAGCTCGATGCTCCACCCAATAAGCCGGTCAGAGAGTTTCGGTTTCTGCAATATCTTCCTCAACAGCAGATCGATATAGACAATAATCTGATGTGATTGGAAGTAAGCTCTCAGCTTATGAGCTGTGTAAACTAGGGCAAAGGTAGCCTTTTCTACTACTGGGTAGTTTTGCTCTGCTCCTTGTAGGACCTTGCTCACATAGCAGATAGGCTTCTGCTGCTTATTTTCTTCCCTCAGCAAAACTGAGCTCACGGCCTCCTTTGATACCCCCAGGTACAGGTACAAACTCTCCCCCTACACAGGCTTGGAAAGTAGGGGTGATGACGCCAGATATTGCTTGAGCTCGTCAAACATCTATTGACACTCGTTGGTCCACTGAAAGTTCTTGGGCTCTCCTAGGGCTTTAAAGAACGGGAGGCACCTTTCTGCCGACCTGCCTATGAACCTGTGCAACGCGGCTACATGACCTGTCAGACACTGCACTCTTTTACAGTCTTGGGAGGCTCCATCTGCTGAATGGCCTGAACCTTCTCTGGATTCACCTCAATTCCTTTCTTGGATGCCACATACCCTAGGAATTTCCCTGACTCTACAGCAAATGTACACTTCAGGGGTTCAGCTTCATTTGTGCTTGGCGCAGGTTCTGAAATGTTTCATTCAGGTTAGCTATATGATCCTTTGCTCGCTTACTGGTGAGTATCATGTCGTCCACATATACTTCAATATTCCTGCCGATCTTGAGGTTAAAGACGACTTGCATCAGCTTCTGATATGTCGCGCCAGCATTTCTCAGGCCAAATGGCATCATGACATAGCAGTAGATTGCATTGTCAGCATAAAAAGCTGTTTTCTCCTGATCGTCCAATAGCAATTGAACCTGGTGATAACCCAAGCTGGCGTCAAGAAAACTCATTCATTCGTGTCCCATTGCTCACTCTACTAACTTCTCCACGTTTGGCAAGGGATGAGGGTCTTTTGGACACGCCTCATTTAAATTGGTGAAATCAATACACATCCTCCACTTGCCATTTGGTTTTTTTACGAGCACAGGGTTGGACACCCACTCAGAATATTCAACTCTCCTTATGAAGCTTGCCTGTAGTAACTTTTGTATCTCTTCATCTATGGCAGCTTGCTTTTCAGGGCCAAAAAGGTGACGCTTTTGAACCATTGGCCTTCTGGTGGGGTTTGTGCTGAGCTTGTGGAATGCCAAATCT